TTGGAAGCAGCTCAATTGCCCATCAAATGGAGACTGGATAAACTGAGTTTTTAAAATAAAATGGAGTACTACTCAGCCATAAAAAATGAGAAATTACAGCCATTTATAGCTAAATGGATGCACATTGTGCTGATATTCTTAAGTGAAATAAACAGAACACACATGTGTAAATACCGAATAGTTTCTCTAGTGTGAGAAACTGAAAGTGTGAAAAAGGACTAAAAGGTATAATAGATAATGTGAAATAGGAAGAAAAGGGGCAAAGGGGAAGGGGAAGTGGGAGGGGTAGGGGAAAGGAAAGAAGGGAATGGAATTTATATAAGAAAATGAAAAAATGGAAACAAAATCTTTGTAAATAGGGAGGGACAGAGAGGTTGAAGAGAGGGCAGGGGAATCGGGAAAAAATAAGAACCAAGAGAGATTATGTAAAGGTGTAAATTTCCAGTGATGAATGTCCTTATATTGTATACCTCAAATGTACCAATAAAATTGATTTAAAAAAAAAAGAGCCAGAGTAGGGACTGACCTGTTATAAATATGCACTGATGCTGGCCAGCCCAGGTCTGGATGTGATGGCATAGGGAGGGTCTTAGCAAACAAAAGGTACCCTAAGGACAGTGGCTACTTGATGGGTGGGGTCATATTTGTGAGAAGATTGATTGAAAGCATGAAAGACTTTTCCTACTTCCTGAATTCTCCATGCTGCCTCTGTAAGACACCTTGGAATGGTGGGCTGATCATTTGCTTTCTTTGTGTACCAACCCTGGACAGGATTTGTGTAAAAAACAAAAGAAAAGGGGCACAGAGGTTTTTCCTTTTACAATTACCTAGATCAGAATTAGGGAGAGCCCAAGACCTTACTTGCAGGTAGGCCTGAAATATCTCCCAGTAAACAACACTCTCCACTAACATTTTCCACTGTAGGCAGTGTCCCAGTGATGGCCAGAGCTACCGGAAGCCTGATCTATGAGAATTTGTTAAAATCTGCTTTTTAAAAAGTACTACTTTACCATATTTCCTTATATCTTTAGAATATAGCTGATCTCTTTCAGTCTTGTGTGTATTGAGTCACAATTATTTGGAGATATATATGTGTGTGTGTGCTATCTCTCTCTCATAGACACACACACATATATAACTATATCTCACATATATAGGTGTTCAAGTGAAGGTCTAAAGAAGGGTCAGGATCATGATGAGGCTGCTGAAAAGTCCATTGTAAAATTTGTTCAAGGCCCTACATATAGAATTAAGCAAAAAGCAATGCAACAAAAAGTACTAGGGCTTAGCGAAACAAAGAAAACAAAATTCACGATCTTCTCTGCCCTGCCTCCTCGGTGAGCGTCCAGCTCATTTGGAGGGATATTCTCATTTTCAAGAGCCAAAGCCTTTCATCATTCCTGGGCATGGCATCCATTAAAAGCAGACCAGGTGGTACCAGCTGCACAGGATGAAAGAAATCACACGGTTTCATTATGTAAAGTAATGACAGAAGAATGGGCAGTCCAGACCAGCTGGATCCATCTCTGCCACACTTTAGTGCGCACACACACACACACACCCCACAAGACTCAGAAGCTCTGAACTCATGGAAACAGACACTGAACCTGGAACCTGTGCAATCTGAAATCTTTCTGGCCAGCTATAATGAGCTAAGCAGAGGGTCTTGCTCATAATAGGGAGTAAATTTGATTATTAAATTAAGTGAAAAATAACTAAATTATAATGACTTTTCAAAGCCATGATCAGCAAATACAATGAAAAACTGAGACATTGTCACAGTTTCTTCTCTATGACACAATCACTGAAAACATATATAACACCTACTGGGGCCTGTGTTGTCCTACATGCTTAACCTAACTTAACTCATATAGTTCTCATAAGAAACCTGTGGAGTAAGGATAATTATCATCCTATTTTACTGACAGGACAACTGAGGCATTATTAAGGAATTGTCCAAGATCTCACCAGTGATGATTGGTGACAGAAGTACTGAAAGGAGACACTATGGATGCCCAGAAGTAAAGATACATAGTCAGGTGCCTGAAGGCTACCTAAGCATACTTAGTAAGATTGCATGTAACCATTAGCACCCTTCTTGTAGCATATTCCAGCACTCTAACCCCCGTGTTTGTGGAATGGTCTACTCTAACCAAGTAGGATTGCACAAAGGAATGACAGAAAGTGTGCCGGGGGAACCAGGCTGGCAGCACAAGCTGCTCAATTGAGGCTGAAAAGTGGGCAGGTGTTTCTCGGGTCCAGAAAAGGCCCACAGCACTGGGGGAGAGGACTGAAGAAAACTGAAGGATGCAAAAGTCCAAGATAAATTCAATGCTGCTTTCAAAGTTAATGAGAAAGTCCAACCTAGACATAATAAGACTTTACCCATGTTAGCAACTTTATTATTAAGGCCTTGGCACAGATTTCATTTTTCTTCTCCAAATATGAAGATGCCATAGATGCCAAGAGAACAGGTTGCATTAGTGATATATGCTAGTTTTGGTTTCTGGACATATGTGCAAGATTTCAATTCATGCCCTCTGTGGAGTGTGTTTAACACTTATTCTTTAGGAAGAAGTTGATAAATATGGATGTATTCATACAGGTATCCTCTACCGAGTGTCCAAATCCCATTGCAGAATGTGTTAGTCCACTTTCCACTCCTGTGACAAAATACCTGAGATAAACAACTAAAAAAGAGGAAAGGTTTATTTTGCCTCATGGGTTTCAGAGGTTTCCACCCATGGTTGCTTGGCTCTGTTGCTTTGCAGCTGTGTTGAGGCAGTACATGGCAGGAGCCTGTGACAGAGGAGCCTGTGCACCTCACGGTACTGGGAAGTGAAAAGAGAGAGAGGGACGGGCCCCAGGTCCCCATATCTCCTTCAAGGGAATGTGAACAATGACCTAACTTCCTCCCACTAGGCCCCACCCTTTAAGGGTTCCACTACCTCCCAGTAGGGTGCAGGCTGGCAACCCAGCCCTTATCCCACAGGCCTTTAGGGGACATTTCAGATCCAAACTATAGCACAGGTGAGACCAAATAGAATTGGCTTTCTTGGCTAATTGGATCTTTTATTCTGAAATTTTAATGCTCATACTCATTTTAAATCCTTTCACAGAAGGTTTAGATCTCTATGAATTCTATATTCTTCCAAGTTACACAACCCCTACTAAATGTAGGAAATGAGACAAGGCTTCAGGTTATTGAATGGCTATGGAATTAGCTTCATTATTTTTTATTTGACATTCATATACACAATTCTTAAATGTAGCAATTCTACAGGGCCATGACTTGCCGACATCTGTGTTGCATGTTAAGAAATAAGGAACAAAATGCCACTTGTGTTTTTTCCAGAAGGAAATCCAAAAGGTACAGGTAGAGCAGGCTCAGAACTTTCCAATAGCTGGAACTGCTCAAAAATGAAATGAGGTATCCTACGAAGGACTGAGAACCCATTGGTACAAAGAATCCTTCTGGGACTACACACCTTTCTCTAAAAGTCCTCCCTCCCCAGCTCTACAGTTGCTGATTATTTTCACAGAGAACTTAATTTTTTTTTTATAGTCATAGAATCTAAGCACTTGGAATTTTTTTTTTGCTTAAATTCTTTTATTGGTACATTTTAGGTATACAATACGTTTACATTTATCATTGGGTGCTTGTACCTGTACATGATCTATCTTGGTTCTTATTTTTTCCCCCATTACCTGTGCGTCCTTCACCCCCTCCACCCTTCCCTATTTACATAGACTTTGTTTCTATTTTTTTCTTTTCTTATAATTTTTCCTTTCCCTTCCCCTCCCACTTCCCCTACCCCTTTGGACCTTTTCTTCCTATTTTAAATTATCAATTATTCATTTTAATCATTTTAATTCTTATACACTTTCTGTTTCTCTCACTAGATAAACTATTCGGTATTTACACGTGTGTGTCCTATTTATTTCACTTAAGAGTATGGCCTCAGTGTGCATCCATTTAGCTATAAATGTCTCTAGTTTCTCATTCTTTATGGCTGAGTAGTACTCCATTTTATTTTTAAAAAACCACATCTTCTTTATCCAGTTTCCAGTTGATGGGCAATTGGGCTGTTTCCAAGTTTTAGCTATTACAAGCTGTGCTGCTATGAACATGGGTGCACATATATCACTGTGGCATGATTCTTTTAATTCTTTGGGGAAGATACCCAGTAGGGGAATAGCTGGGCCAAATGGTACCTCTAGCCCTAGTTCTCTGAGGTATCTCTATACTGATTTCCACAGTGGTTGCACCAGTCTGCACTCCCACCAACAATGGAGAAGGGTTCCTTTCTCCCCACAACCCTGCCGGCATTTGTTATTGGTTGATTTCTTTACAGCAGCCATTCTTTCTGGGGTGAGGTGGAATCTCAGCGTTGTTTTCATCTGCATCTCTCGAATGACCAGTGATGTTGAACATTTTTTCATATGTTTATTTGCTGCTTTTACTTCTTTGTCTGAGAAATGTCTGTTCCTTTCAGATGCCCATTTGTGAATTGGGTCTTTAAATTTGGGGGGTCTGATTTTTTTTCAATTCTTTTTATATTCTAGATAGTAGACCTTTGTCTGAGGTACAGCTGCTAAAAAATTTTTCCCACATTGTAGGTTGTCTCTTAGCTCTGTTGGTGGTTTCTCTTGCAGAAGCACTTGGAAATTTAAAGAATTTCAAGTAGTTAGAAATTGCCAGTCAGAGCTCCCAGTTAATTTTATCAAGGATGTAAGTTTAATTTTCTAAAAACCTTAGGGAGGTGTTCTTGACCTCTCCATAGAGTGCTGGAACTCAGAATGAGGCCTGAGCAAATAAAAAAAGGCGTATGACCCTGAGGCCCTGGCTGTGTGCAAGAAACAGATGCAAATAGAAAAGAAGAACAGGAAAGGAGGAGAAGCAGACTGGATTTAGTGGGAGTAGAAATGGTACTAATATAATCATCACAGCCTCACTGTGATTACGTCAATGTGTTACTGTTGTTCCCATTTTTCACCAGGGAGAACTGAACCTCAGGATCAGTCCCAAGATGGCAAAGGAAGTGACAGAGGTCGGTCACCGCAGACTCCAGTGTTGGAGTCTTCATTCCAGGTCTTCCCACGAAAGCAGGCTGGTTCACCTGCACAGTGGCTTGCTCATCTTGGAGTACACAGCTTTCAATTAAAGGCCGGTCTACGAAGGAAGCTCCCATGGAAATCCTGCTTCAAACTTCACAAATTTAAATCACGTTTGCTGCAAGTATTCTTAAGTAGTTGTCTCAGCCTCCTGAGACTCACCGTTTCTTTATATGAAATGCAAATAACACTAATGAACATTAGAGGACTAGGAACATTACACACTCCAATTTCCCATGTTGAAAGACTAGAAGAAAACAAAATCAAGAAGCCCATGTTAAAAACAATGTGTAGATGGCAATTTTTGGTTTTGCTTTTTGACCTGAACTTTGCTTATGTTTCTTTACATCTGAAAAAAATCTATTTTTCTTTACGTTTATGCTCCTCTATTCCAGGAAGCATTAAAGAAAGATCCCAGCCACCCCCCTCCAAAAATATTCTTCATTTATAACATATCTAAGAGGGCAATAGACCTGTTGTCTATAGGTCTACTGAGTATGGGCCTAATATTTTCTCTCACATCCTAAAAAATAGAGAAAGCAGCAATTAAGGCCAGAACAAGAGCTGTTTGTTCATCCAGGAGCAGGGGTTCTTTTCTTTTCTTTTCTTTTCTTTGGTACCAGGTATTGAACTCAGGACCTTGTGCTTGCGAGGCAGGCAGGACACCACTGAGCTACATCCCTGACTGTTAGGAGTAGGGGTTCTTAATGAGGGACGATTTTGCTTCCCCTTGCCCTTAGGGGCGTTAGGCACTTTCTGAAGACATTTTTGTTTGTACAAATGGGGATGTTACTGGCTTCCAATGGGATAGAGCCAGTGATGTTGCTAAATAGACTACACAGTGATGGCAAACCTTTTAGTTTTCAGTGATAACAGCCTGCTGTAGCACGTGTGCCATAGGATCGCCACCCCTGGCCTACAAGGAGCAAGACAGCCTCCACATGAAGAATGACAGAGCTCCAAATATCCATACTGCTAATGTGTAGAAACATTTGTCTCAAGCCAGGTAAAACACATGGGAGTTTACATACCTGGGCACTTCCACTGACAAAATCTTCTAAGCCTCCAAACTTAGAGAATCACAATATGGCGGAGGTGGCCCCAGTTTCTGACAGTGGACAGGAAAGATTCCTGCTTCCTCTCTTAATTACCAGGTATTCACAGAATGTGCTGCGTGAAGGGCACAGGGGGCTGTGTCTTTGGCCATTCTTTCCACTTCTTCATTTTTCTCCACAAAATAACAAACTGGCTTGTGAGAATTTTTGGTTGTCGATCATTTTACATTACATTTTACGGTCCTCTTTTAATGTGGAAAAAGATTTGGAAAAATCTTTTTCAAATGTTTATAGTTTCTAAAACTAAGAAAAATCATTGGAAATTTGCATTTCAGCTTTTCCAAGATAACAAAAAGAGGTTTCTGAATAATTACCCAAATGCCCACTTCAATAACCATTCTCAGAATTTATCATTTTAAGTCTCCTATGCTTTTTTCTCCTTTCCTTCCCTCCCTTCTTCCTTTTCTTTTCTTCTTTCTTCCTTCCTTTCACGCTAGGGCTTGAACCTAGCTCCTTGAGCACGCTAAGCACCTACTCTCTCACTGAGCTACATCCCCAGTCTCAAAGTCAGGTACTTTTAAAAACTGGACTGGCTACAAGAAGCATGCCTAACACATAAACTCAGACACACAAACTAGCTTTGAGATTTAGAGGAGCAAATGTTGAAAAAGAATGTAGAACAGTCACAGGTCCCACCAAACATGAAGGGTCATGATATGAAAGATACTACAGAGCCAGGGATGTGGCTCAGAAGTGACACACTTGCCTAGCACACGCAGGGCCCTCGGTTCCATCTCCAGTATCGCGGGGAAGGACTAGGACTTGTTGATCGAGGTGGAAAGGTAATGGGTACAAAGGCCCGGCATGACTTTCACACTTTTTAAGGCAGTCTGTCTGTACCACATAAGCTTTGGCAAAATCCATAAGCCACAGAGAAGCCTGAGTCCACCACCTAACCTTGCTTTATTCTCTGTAAAAGGTGACCAAGGAGTCAATTCTTCAGCTGATTGTGCTGAACACACTGAGAAATCTGACAATGAAAAGCCAGTGACATCAAGCTTGGAGGTAGAAATAAATTATTTCTTGTTTAAGCATTTGACCTTATCGTGTAAACCCAATTTTTCTGATCTCTTATTCCTGTGAGCCACCTTCATTTCAAGGGCAGTGGGAAGCTGTCAGCTGTGTGACCTTTAGGTATTTTTCTATGTGAGTTTGTTAGGAACCAAAGAGGATATGAAGGTTCTTTCTTAAGCCAAGAAGCAAAGTCAAATAATGACAATGCTGGCCTGAGCTTCGCTGTTAGAAGGATCATGAGTTTAGTTTAAAAACAATAGAGACTCTAAGATAAAACTAGTGCAAAAGCCAGAAAACCACTGACCACAGAAACCAATAGCATCTGAAGTGGCCTGTGGAAGCAAAAAGCTGCCTCAGCCCAAACACCAAGTTTGAACCCCACTTTGATGCTCAGGGACAGCACTTCAGTGTACAACTCTTCTCCAACTCTTCCTCACAGAGCCACTCAGAAAAAAATGTAATTTAATTTTTAACTTAGGATTTTGAAGTTAATCCACTTGCACTTGTTCTTTAGGAATAGTCTATAAATATTAAATGAAATGATGTATTTATATTTGATACAGAGCTTCTTGGAAGTATATTCGTTAATTTTGAAGTTAGCTTTTATTATTGTCCTTCATACTCCAAACATGAGGAGCATTGAATGAAGCCATTTTTCTTTCTTTCTTTTTTTTTTTTTTTGGTACCAGGGATCGAACTTGGGTCCTTCCGCTTGCACAGCAGGCGGTGAAACCACTGAGCTAAATCCCCAGCCCCATTTTTCTTTCTAATAGAAAATAAAAAATAATAAAGCAATGATTCAGGATCTATCACTAGTTATACTAATTAGGTAAGAGGTTTTCTTGTAAATTATTTTATTTTACACACACATGCGCATATGAACATAATACAGGATATAGAGAACAAGTTGATAACACAGCAAATAAACATCTTCATGGGAAAATGTTAGCTCATTTACATGAAGTAGCTTCTACAGATTGCAGGTTTATTTTTTAAAAACCATTCAACTGATCTTTCTATTAATGCAGGCATTCTAACTGACCAAGGGTCCCATTTACAGTTACCAGATTTTAAGAGGAAATGTATTGAGTACCGTTGGCTGCTTGGCACTGTGAATACATGATCTTATATAAGCACACAGTAACCTAAAGAAGCAAAAATTGATATTCTCTTCATTGAACAGATGTGGGAAATAAAGAAACTTGCCCAAGGTCAGGTGATAGGTGGTAGATCTGCTCTGAAGCAGAGCCTGGTTGGAGTCAAAAGCCTGAAGAGAGCACCATAAATACTTCATTAGTCTACTGAACATCAAAACCACCTGCTTACTGAGAATTAATCACAAATTCAAACTGAATTTATTAGTCTCCATTAGTAAGCTTTTAACATGTTAGCTAATATCCCCTTCCCTTAAACCTCAAAGTATTTTAACAATTAAATTTTACTCATTTTAGTTCTAAAAAAATCACATGAGATTTACTACAATTTTTCACTGAAGAAGGATATTAATATTATAAGTTAAATTTTGCAAAATAAATGAAGAGCCTTAAAATATTTATACCCTCCAACTTAAAATTTCCATTTCTGGAGAATTTATTCTCCAGAGATAATTCAAATTGCATGTAATTATTTATTACAAACATACATCTTTATAAAGTCAAAATATGTGAGTAATATAAACATATTGGGAAATGGTTAAATAAATGATGGCATTACTATTTCAAGTGATGTTTATATTTCATTATAGCACGGAAAAACACTTGTATTATGTTTATTTTACTTGAACTGTGAAGCAGAGAAGAAGGTATAGAGCTAAAGAGCAAGTATTTAGTCACAACCCTGTAACATAAACTTTCCAGAGTCACAAAACGGGAAGAATATACCAACACATCTAAAATGCCTCTATATTGTACTTCTATTTTTCTACATTCTCAAACCTGAACCAAATTTCAGATGCTAATTTAAAATAGAAAAATACTTTTCCATTTTTTTAAAGCTATAAACAGAATGGCTGGCATTTTGTAAATCTAACCCTCTGAGTCAGGTTCAACTTGTCTCGAATCCTTGCCTTTTTTTCCTGTACCAGGCATCAAACTCAGGACCTTGTGCACATGAGGCAGGTGCCGCACCACTGAGCAAAACCCCTGGCCCAAACTCGCCATGAATCCTATAGGAACACTTGAAGGAGGGCCTGTAGTTAAGAGAGTCCCTGATTAGGAAACACAGAACTCAGTTTCTCCATATACAATCCACAGGACTACTAACGTGGGCTCTGCAATAGACTCCCATTATCTTAGCTGTGACAGAGCTCTCTGGAAAGAACCGTGAGCCTAGTTTGTCCACACCCTTGCATGACTTGTGATACCACTTCCTGCCTTTGCTTCCTGGTTCCCCGGGTCATCCTGCATGCTGGCAATGTCACACAATTGCTTGTGTGAGCCACTGCCCTGTGGCTGATAGAGGCAAAGGCCAGCTGCCATGAGATGGCTGTCACTTCTTGCTACCTGGAAGGCTGATTGTGTTCACACCTGGGGGCACAGAAGGTAATGATAAGGGTGGTAGTGGGCAGGTAGAAAAAAGTTTCTTATCTTCTAGGACTAAGGCAAAGGTGCAAGTCAACTTGAGGGATGGCCTACACTACAAAACCAGGGTCTTTCAGAGGATGAAAAAGGTCTAAGTCATAGCCCTTTAAATTCATATTGCATACTTTTAAAGGGAAAGGGTATCAATGCATAGTTTGAGAGAAAATCTTATAGTGAAAATACTTATTACTATTAGTCTATTTTCAAAACTATACAAAACCTCTTACTTGAATATAACATTAAAACTATAAATTTAAATATTTTGTAATAATAAAAAATGTAAAACTTCTATAAAGTATCCCCTAAAAAGGTTTCATGGTCAACAAAGTTTGGGAAACATTCATTTTGCAATGACCGTATTGAATGCTGGCAGTGCAGATTGGCGTACGTACTTCGGCAGTGTTGTTCGAAGTGGGTCGATGTTCAGCCTCACCTCTCGCGGTTTCGCGGTTTCTCGGTCCCGTCCATCCTCCAGCCACATCTCCCAGCCTCCTTCCAACATCTCACCTTGCAGTCCAGAACTTGGCACTAACTGGGCCCATGGGCCTGCGCATCGACTCCCATCTGAAGCGATATCTGAGAGAATAAACAGTTCGCTCCCCTCCTAGCAAGCCCTTCTCCCTCGGATGCCAGCCAAAGTTAAGGAGGCTCCTTTCATGTCGGCGTGGCTTGGGGATTTGTTTTGGTTTGTGAAGTGGACATCTCCCCCACTAGAAACACAGCACCGGCTGAGGCGTCAACTGATCCTTCATACGCAGCTCCAGCAGCATGAGATGCTGATCTGTTCACTCATAACCGCAGAGTACTGTGTTAAGGTCATGTATGTAACTTCTGCCTCCAGCCCTGTGGATTTATTTAGTGCTTAGTCTCGAGTTCCTGCAGCTGTGTCCTTTCAGTGACTGCTTTATGGTGGCCAAGAGAGTTGAGGTTGGCTGCCAGGATGCTGAGATCTGGAGGAACACATGGACACATTATTCCTGTTCTCCGAAGCGCTTCCGTTCCTGTTCCGGTCAGTTGGGGAGATAGTGGGAGCTATCTCTGAAGCAGCCCGGCACTTACTGCTGAGGATATTGCTGCTTATGTTTGACACGGCTGCAAAAGAGCAGGCTTCAATCTACCCTCAGAAATTACAGTAATACAAAACCGAATTCTCAGCAGAGCTCCTAGCTCTATTTGTAAGAGCTAGGAGGGAGCCATTATTTTCTTTACTCTAAGGCCACACATTGTGTCCAGTCTGCTTTAAACAAGCCAGGAAAGAGGGGTTCCTATGCTAACTGAATACTTTTGGTTAAATTGGGTTATGTTAGAATTTTTTACATTTGATTTTTACTCTATTTATGTATGGGGGAAATTTACCTCAAGGACAGCAATATTTTTACTTAGACTATTTGGGAGAAATTTCTTGCTGCTTTTTCTTTTGTACTGGTAACATTTGTGAAGTGTTTTGTTCAGCACTATGGAAAAGCAAAATATCATCATCATTATTACTGGCCTTTGTCCACAGTGGACTCCATCCAGATTCTAACCAGCAACTCTGTGACTAACAATCTGAGTGAGTCACTCAGTTTCAGATGTTTATGTATTTCAACACAATTCCCAGGCTAAACTTTTTTTAAAAACTTATTTTCATGTTTCAGGACACAGAATGAATTAGGTGCCCTCTGAATTTCCAACCTAGTGTCTCTGAGTATCTAGCAGGGACAGGTAGGTAGACAGATTGAATTCCTTTTCAATAACAGATTCATCTTAGCAAAAGCCAAAGATTTACCAAAACATCAAAAGATTAGTATGTGCTTCCAGGACAAAAGTCTCCAGATGGAGAATTCAGTTAATAATAACTGAACCCTGGTAGTGGCACAAAAGAATTGCAGAATTTAAGAAGCAGAGAACCTACAACTAAAAAGTGGTAAAGAGATTGCCACAAAAATGCAAATATACTTGCTATTTACTAACTTTTCAAAGATGTGCATCTTTATTCTTATAGCTCCTTCAAAGAATTATTAGAAAATGGACAGTGTGAGTTAAAACATCATTTTATGGAAAAATCTCATTATTTTAGTTATTTTCTCATTTTCTGTACCTATTCCCATGTCTATTCCCAGTCCCAGATGGTCCCAACATTATAACTGTCCCTGATGAAATTCCTTAACATTTTTATGGCATAATTTTACATACATTTGGTCATACATTTTCACAGTATCTTAGGTTAATAAAAAATTTCTCTTACATATTACACCATGTTAATCTCATTATCATATGCAGTAGAGAAGAAATGTATTATACCCTTTTACAGAAGAAAAAACTGAAGCATATCACATTGGTGAACTGGCTTAGACTCATCGGCTAAAGTCATATGGATTGTTACTAGAAAAATTAGACTCCTAGTCCAAAGCTATTGTACATTATGTGTAACAGAAATTTAAGCTTTAAAAATATTTTTTGCTTCTAATTCCTCCTCATAATGTAAGATTAAGAATAAAGCCTGGGCAGGGGCATTATTATTCTTCCATACTGGTATTTGCAAATAGTATTTGTGATATCAAGTACTGTCACATTATACTAATACTGTCCGAGTATGAAGCATAATCTGACAACACAAAATATTACTATAATATACAAAAATAATAAAATGATTTTGCTTTTTAAAAGCTATTTGTTCATCATTCTGTGGTCTTTATAGGATGACCTACAAAGGTCTATACAAAGTGCTCTTAAACGTGTATTCATAGCTGCCTTTTGTCTTTCAAGCAAATTACATTTTTCATGTGATCTTACTGGGTTCTAAGTTTAAATTAAACTCCCCAAGAAAAAAAGACTTATCTGTATTTCCCTTACATTTTACACAGTACTTGGACTGGGGCCACTTGTTGCTTTTTGACTTCTAGGTATGGTAGCAACTACATCTCTGATGTGTGTGTGTGTGTGACACAGACTGAACCCAGGTCCCTGCAAACACTAAGCATGTGCTGTACCGCTGAGCTACACTCCCAGCCAAGTGACACATTTTGGGGTCCCTTGGCCCTTGATCTGGCCCTTGTACTCTCAGGAGCCTCTTGTGGCTAAGTTTGACATGGAGGCGGCACACTGCAGCGGTGTCTTGGAGGTGGCTTGTGACGCACACAGCACGCCCTTCCGGGCATCTCCAGGCAGTGCAGAATCCCTGGGTGCGCCTCCCCATATCCACCAAAACCCATCAGGAGGGGTGTGGCCGGCGAAGCTGCACTAACCAGCTTCCTGAAAGAGGCCCACACATGCCAAAGTCTTTTCATCCCCATAATGATACCACGTCCCAGTTCCAGGGAATTTCAGTCACTGTGGCTATAAATGTGTTCCCAGGCCTAGTTTGGAAGCTGACAGTAAAAGATGGTCCTTTCTGTTTAAGAAAAGAGATGAGAGGCCGACTGAAAGCCTGTAATCCCAGCACTCTGGGAGGCTGAGGCAAGATAGCAAGTTCAAAGCCAGGCTGGGCACTTTAGTGAGACCATGTCTCAAAAAATACTAGATAGACAGACAGATAGCTAGATGGATAGGGCTGAGGATAAAGCTTAGGGCGAAGGCCCTGGGTTCAATCCTCAGTACCAAAGAATAAGTAAATAAATAAAGGGCTCACAATAATCATGGCCCCTGACCCTGATTAAGAGAAGGTTTACCTGCGCACTGGGAAATGTCACCCAGGTACGCCCGGGCCAGCAAGCTCCCAGCCTAGGCCTAGGCCCGGGGGCTCCCTTCGGCGCACCGCTTTCCGGAGCATGTGAACACCAGGGATGTTGAGCGGGACCGGGCTGCATCGCTGAGGAATATTTTCCAACCTAGGGCCACTTGAACTGACCCGTAACTATTTCCCCTCCAATCCGGCAAAATGAGCGCTCCCCTCCCCACGGTGTGCCGCAATCCGGAGGCTTCACACACGGGCCTGGGGCCAAAGAGCTGCGTCTGTGTTCAGCTCGGCTTCGGCCCGGGCCGGCCGAGCGGGGCCTACAGCGAGCCGTCGGAGCCGGGGTGAACGGCGTGAATGGAGCCGGGCCGGGAGTCGGCCAGGGCGGATTAGGGCCGACTGACGGCGGATTCCTAAAGCGAGGAGGGTTCCCAGTCAGAGGGAAGCCACTGCTTGCAGCTGCAGCCTGGGGCAAGACGGCCCAGCGGCGACCCAGCGGGCACGGCGGGAGAGCGAAAGCCGCGGGCGCCTGGGCCACGCGAGGCCGGGAAGGCCGCCCGCGCTGCTCTCCGGCGCCTCCGCTGGGCGGGCCGGGGTCGGGGCCGGGGCCGGGGCCGGGGCGCAGGTGGAGGAGCCGCCGCCCGCCCTCGCGTCCCCTGCTCCCCAGTTCTGCTTTCAAAAAAGACCCTGAGGAGCCTCCGGGGGTCAGGCGCCCAGGAGGGGGCTTTGAAGCCGTGGAACCCGGGCCGCCACGCCTCGGGCTCGGTTCTCAGGCGCCCCGTTAGCCGGGCCCGGACCGGAGGAGCAGCCGGACCAGCAGCGAGCGGCCACAAGGGAATGCTCCGCTCCAGGCCCCGGCTCCCGGACCAGGCTCCAGGCCCCAGCCCTTGACCCGGCCCCGCCGGAGCCCGCAAAGCCCTGGGTGGAGCCTCAGGCCGCTCGGCCTGGCCTGGCCCAGGTCCTGGCCCTGCAGGGCTAGGCACGGAGTCACCGCCGACCTGTCTGGGGAAATGAGTGGCTGGATTAGCGCCAGCAGCTGGGGAAGGCGACAGCTCAGCTTGAAACGTGTCGCCCTTTCCGCCTGCCCTGCTGGATGCCGAGGGAGTCAGGTTCTGGGGCGCGCGCGGCACCCAAAAGGCAAAGTGAAGAAGGACCTGTTCTCGTGCAACTTGCGCTATACGTGGACGCGGGAGCAGCGTTGGAGCACGGGGATGAGGATTTCAGAGAGCGATGCGCCACAGAATGGGGAGGCGGGCAGAGACTGCGGAGGCCTGGGGGGCTCCGCTCAGGCGCCCCAGGCCTTGGTGGTGACATTTGGGCCTAGAGTTGGGGGCTAAAGGAGGTGGCCACGTGAGACTCCGAGGCCCAGGGCCCCATATCAAATGCAGATGCCTCATCGCATCTAATTCACGTTCTTTCCAAATTTACTTCCGTCACCATAGCGACTGCGGACAGGACCAGGGGTGGGAAAATGGAAAGGGGGTGAAAATGTCAAAAAGGGCAATCATTAAGTTGAACTCTTAAGTCTGTAGGGCTTCAAATCACATGCACGATTTGAAATTCATGTTCCGAGTTCAGGAAAGTGTTGGGATAAACTTGGAAAACATCGGCAAAAAAAAAAAAAAGTAATATGCATTGTTTGGGAATGAAGACCGCCAGTAAATATGAAAAAAATAAAAACAGCTCTTAAAGACAGATGCCTGGAAAGGCCCAAATATAAGAGGCAGACTAGAAGGGGAGAAGGCTGGTAAAGGGAGGGAGGAGGGAGAGCACCATGGGAGAGCGGGCAGGGGTTAGGTACCCGGAGAACAGAGTTCTGCGGATGGGGACTGGGGGTGAGGTCGCTGAGAGTCAGATGCTGCAGAAGGAGCAAGTAGGACAATGATGGGAAAGAGGACATCCTATTTAACAATTACAACACCATTAGTGGGAGGAATTGTAACCATCCAGGGTTTGCAGTGCCATGCTACCATATAATACAAGGTACTCTTAAAATGACAAGCATACGGTACATCTAGATATACTAACAGGATAGTCATTAATGTGTAGAAAACAAACCAGAGAATAGTGTATGTAATCCAATCTGTTAATGTCAACAGAGGCTCTCTTGAAAGCCAAGTAATTTTGTGAAAGATGCAAAGAGGTATAGTGAGAGGGATACGAGGGAGGAGAAATTGTTTGCATCACTACTGTGGGGCTTGGGATGGTGAATGGTTGCTGACCTGCATGTGGCTCACAGAGCTTTGCAATAATCAATGCAGGATGGAAATGTTCCCTGCGTTTATGTTATTTTCTCCAGTAAAACCTGGGATATTAGACTACCCTCGAGCAGGATAGAAACAGGCAAGTCAAGTTCAGAGAGAATTCAAGGAGCTGCTGGAAGGAAGCTCCTGTCATTTAGGGAGGGAGGGAAAGGAACGCTGGAGAGGGTAAGCATACTGGGAAAAGAACCCTTAAGGATGAGGTGCAAAAAAGACAAAGGGAAGTTTTAGTACTGGAGAAGTAAACGGGAAGGTATTAATAACAAGCATTTACTGAGTACTTCCTATGTGCTTTTACTGTGTTATTCATTTAATCTTCACAACTCTGTGAGGTAGGCCTATTATACTTCCTATTTTACAGAGGAAGAAACTGAGGCACTAAGAACGTGCAAATCGTCAAAGTCACATACTAGCAAATGGAAGAAGCAGAATTTGTATCAATTTTCAAGCACTGTTCTATGTAAGCTTTGATTGATTCCAGGAAAGAATTCCCTAGGCAGGGCCACTCCAGAGACCTGGTCTAGGTATGTAACTGTGTAGCAAAACTGGAACAAATATGTAGTTTGAGGTGACAGGTGAAGGAGTTGTAAGATAGAATGATTGGAATCATCATCAAATGTAGGTTTGGGAACAAAGCACCCAAAGAATTGTCTAGAAATGGAGTGGAGAACATTCTCAATTGGCAGAAATTTGCTGATAAAGATAGCAAGAGGAATTTAAAAACTTATTTAAGCTTGATGAGAGAAGTATAATTTCTATAAAAAAGCATATTTTAAGAGATGTAAGATGGTTTTCACCTACAAGTGGCTCTCAATTGAGTCAGGCAGGTAGCACTTAGTGAATTACTAACAATAAATGGTAACATATACCAGTTGCCAAATAAGAAATCTAGAGACCCTGCATTCAGAAATTCTGCTCAGAGTTGGCTGTCACTTGATCTGGGGCCGATAAGGTTCCAGGGTAATTCATCAGGTAGGGGTGCGTCTAAGACAGCTTTACTGGGCGTGATGAGTTTTAACTGCTGAGGCTGAACCCACGACAGAAGAGGAAGGCATGTGGGAAACGGGGAGTTCTGTGGTCCCGCTGTTCTTTTGGTTGTAGAACCCAAGGCCCTTCTTTCAGCGCCACTTTTACCCATTGTTCTCAACGTGTGGTTCCAAGGCGGGCTGCCTGTCACACTTCGCCACCCTGCCAGCCTCTGGGTCTGGGCCGGGCCATCTGACGTGTCTGCTGGGATTCCGGGAATCAGGTATGAGAGAGGAGGCTCCCTTCTTGGCTGGTGGAGGGATGGAGGTTCGCCCGAAAACCAGTGACAGCTGCTCCGGAGAACAGGGCCAAGTGTATGGAGTTCAGGACAGAGGCAGAGAGTAAGTGCTGTCAAGCTGTTTTTCTCTCTGGGGAAAAACCTGAACCTGAAAGAAATAATCTAAGCATAAGCAAAAAAGAAAAAATATTTTTAATGACTTGGAAAGAAGGTTTTCAATAACATCTTCAAATGAGAACAAGAGAATCAGAATTAGTTCTGGGATTTGGATGCTGTATAAAATGACTCAGTTATGTGTTTGTCACTTCCCCAGCTTGGCAATGTCTTGCCTCTCTGAACAGAGAAAGCCTTGTGCTGAATAAACTTAGAGCATATTATCTGTGATACTGAAACTATTTAAAGATTGCTTGTGACTTTTTAAAAAAGCAAGTGAATAACATAATTATCTAAGGTTCAGAGCCACCTCCATTTCTCCAGGTTTAGACTTATTTACAACATAATTTGTATGCACCATTAAAGATAACAAAATTTAAACCAGTAGTTCTTTCATCTCCAGTAACTGTCTTTGATCTCAACAGTGAAAATGCTATTTCAGATTAATTGAAAATAATGCCCATTCCAGATTGTATAAGATTTTTAGAGAAATCCATTTCTTCCATTTCTAAAGTTACAGCTTTAACTAGGGTAATAAGACTTTGGCAAATAGCTTTGAGGTGCTTCTTTAATAAAGACATGATTTGTAATTAAATGATTGACGTCCCAGTTCTTCCAAATGGTTGACATTTATTGCTTAAGTACTCTACGGACCAGATATGGGTTTGACTCTTATATCCATTATCTTTCTTATTTAAGCCTCACAGTAGCCAGAAGAGGAAATCATTGACTTGTCTTATCAATGAACACATTAAGGCTTAGAAAAGTTAATATGCCCATGGTCCCGCAGTACCAAACCTGCCCACGTTAGACCTTTAGGTCTATGACCATTTACTCCATGCTGCCTCTGACGACAGATTGTCATTACAGATTTTATGTGTAGGTTTGTTTGTCATTTTCTTAGCGTCATTTCCCTTTTCTCGGCATTCATTTTGGCATCATTTATTAGACGTTTATATACACTAGCCAATGTACTAGGTACTGGGTTACATTATCTATTCTATCTCTCTTACTCCTCCCCAGTCCCCACTCCATAGTTTTATTGTGTCTTCCTTTAAAAAGAGGGCAGTGGGCTGGATCTCAGAAAGGATAAATGATTTCCCTAACACAACACTTGTAGGAGTCAGAGGCAAACTCTTGAACTTGGAGTAGAGAGTACAACTGTGATGTTTAATCAGAGCAGAGGGCAGTAAAGGGTTTCACGGTGAGGAATGAACTCAGAAGACCACTAGCTACAGTTCCGACAGTGGAAGGGCTCCAGGAAGTGGAGTGGCAATGTCCGTGGTCCAGCAAGAGTGCTGGACACGCTGGGACAACCTCCCTGGGGCCTAGTGCTCACCAGGGTTCTCGGATGGTCTACATGGAGCCACCCAGGGCTTTCTTGGGAGCTGGAGGCTGTTAAAGATCATAGCAGGCCCAAGGAATACTGAGTGGGAGCTGGAGCTGCTCCATACAAAATCAGTGGTCCCACTGTCCAGTTTTACTGGTGGAAGCAGAGTGCGTGTGATGCTTTTCAAGCGTGCAGAGGACATCTACCCTGTGACCCAGGCAGATGGCAGCTCTGAGTCTCTGGAGCTATGCTCTGTCCACAGGAGACAAACTGAAGGCTGAGGCTGGAGTGGAGGAAGCCAGGTAGCGTGTGGGTTTGGGCCCTGGAATCAACAATGAATAAGATGAAGTCTCTGCCAGAGGGGCTAACATTTCAGTGGGAGGAGACAGGACAGGACAGGGCCCCACGCAGTGGTAATGCACGCTCTGAAGGAAAAGAAAGTTGGATGAGGAGGAAAAGAAGAGATGGAGAGAGGAGGAATACTTTTCTGTATTTGGTCACAGAAGGCCTCCATAGAGGTGACATTGAATGAAGGCTTGAAAGAAGTAAAGGACAAGCCATGTGGCCATCTACAGGAAGAGTATTGTAGGCAGGGGAAATAGGAGGTGCAGTTCATGCGGCAGAAACAAGTTTGGCAGATTCAAGGATCCACAAGAGAACAATGGCTGGAGCAGAGTGTGGGGGTAAGAGAGTGCCAGGAAATCCTTGTCAGAAAGATGGACCATGGTCAGGACTTGATTTGACTCACCGTGAAATGAGAAGCCCTTGAAAAGTTTTGAGCAGAAAGCTGCCATGATGATGTATGTGTATATTTTATTAGTATATGTGTGCAATACACAGTGGATGCATTCATTATGGAAAGTTGGTAGGTAGAAAATTCACATTTTAATCCTATTACTTCCCCGAATCCATCTCTAGATCCTCTTCCCATCTCCAAAAGGTCTACCTCCCTATTTCCTATCTCTTATCTTTTATGCTACTCTTTATTTATACTTTGGGTTTCTCACATAAAAGGAATCATGTTATAATTAGCCTCTGTATCTGATTTATTTTATTTAGCATATGGTCTCAGAGTGTATCTATTTTCGTACAAATGACTCAAGTGTACCCTTTATGGTTATGTAGTACTCCACTGCATTTATGTTACCATATCTTCTTTGTCCATCCATCTGTTGATGGACATATAGGCTGCCTTAGTTATTGTGAGTTGTGCTCCTATAAACATGGCTGTGCAAGTATCATTGTAATATAGTATCTAACTCTTTCAGGAAGAGGTATAGCTGGGTCAAATGGAATTTCTACTTTTAGTTTTTTGAGGAATATCCATGCTGATTTTCATACAGGTTGTACTAGTTTATATTCCCATCAACAGTGTAAAAAGTTTCCTTTTTTCCCACAACCTTGCCAGCATTTGCTATTTTTTGTTCTTGATGGTAGCCATTCTTTCTGGACTAAGAATCTCAGTGTTGTGTTTTTATTTGCATTTCTCCAATGTACACGTGAAAAAGAACACTCCAGCTTTGGAAGTGGAAGAAAGGGGGCCAAGTTTAGCAGCTACTGCAATAGTCCAGGGAGAAAGGATGGTTGTGCAGACCAGGATGAGGGTGGAGAGAGGATAGCAGTGGAGTAGTCCTGCTTAAATCATGCAGTAGTTTCTAATGAAAAGCACCATAACAGAAATAATTTTATTTTCAGATTACAGACAATTGGCCAGGATATGACTTGAACTTCTTGACATACCCACAGCACTATTATGAAGTGGAATATGTGCTCTTACCTCCTGGCATCATTGTGGACTGGTGAGTGTTATTTCCTTCATCGGTTTTGGTCCTGCTCTGGGCTGGCACTCTTTTGTATGAATCCTACAGTATTCTGGAGACTATTTCTGAGCCCCTTATTTTAGTGGAAAAGAGAACTTTTATGGGAGAACAAATTTGAAATACAATGAATTTATGCTGTAGCTCAATAGTGTACCTGGACATTTGTCCAAGGAGAATGGTGAGAAGGATATGTGTGTGTAACTATATACAGCCTCACCGTGACAAATCCTGTTCAAAAGAAGGACTGCGGGGACTGGGGAAGCATTCCTTCTCACCAGAAACCTTTATCTCATGCTACTCACAGTTCACAGACTGCGCTCACCAGGGAGAGTCAGGAGGAGACCTTACAGGACACACCCCCCAAGTCCTAGCTTTTCCTATAACTTGCATCTCATTTCTCTTGGACCAAGTAATGAGTCACAGTTCAGCCCGTCTGCATACAATTATGTTTTCTGACAAGTGGTAATGATTTGGGAATAATAGTATTTGTAGGTTTAAACTATCAACAGAGAACTATTTCTAGTTCTTTCCTGCCTATCTACATAGATATCGTCTGGCTTTTTTGTCGCTTATTGACTTTTCCAAAGACAATATTTTCTTTCTTGTACTGAGCCCCTAAGTCACTGCTACTTACTCTTGATTTTCAGAAAACTGCAATTAATTCAGCCCACTAAAAGCAACAGAATTTATAGGTCATGCCCCTTTGACAAAACTGCCCCAGTGCTAAGACTGTTCATGTGCCTCAGGGTTATTGATCAAAGGTCAAACACGTAAGTCTCCACATTCTATGGAAAGCAAACATTCTGGTGTTTACAACCCACCTCTGGAATCCTAGCAATTCTTCAGAGGGTGTAATTCAGAGTGGGGGGAAGGCAGTGGGGAGCAGGACCAAGTTGAGACTTTGAGCTCGCACACCAATCCTTTCCTCAAGCCATTGTACTTTTGCCTCTATAGTTTTGTAATCTGTTATATTCTTCTGAGTTAAAATTTAACTTTTTAAATGAAGTGTTCTGAGCAAAATAAAGTCTGATATTAAGTGGTCACCTTCTCAGGATATTATTTTTTCATCTGCTATAAGCAAAAGGAATTGTTATTCTTTCATCTGAATTCTTAAGATTTTCCATTGCCTAAGATGTATGCACTGCTTTTTCTCCTATTATATAGTACATTGTTGCCATAAGGTCTAGTTTGGGGTTTTTTATGGTCTGAGATGACTTTCCCATGGACTACTACAAGTGTGATGCTCACTCAGAAGGGACAAAATCTCCATGATCAAACAAACTTGGGAAATTTTTCATTTCCAATCTCCCAGTTAGAAATTCAAAATGAACACCAACATCATATTAAAGGTATGGGAATTCTGGCAAAAAGAAAAAAGAAAAGAAACCTGTTTGACTTAAACCATTAAACCAACTTCTTGTGCAATGGGAGACTTTGTGTTACTCACTTCTTCATAGCTCTGAGCTTTACCTTAGTAGCAGTTGGGAGGTATCAAACCTTAGTTTAAATAAATTCTTACTTTTCTTGCTTGAATTTTATGATTTTAGTTAGTTGCATCCTGATATGAAACATCATTCAGTCCTGGATAAAATAAACTGAGACCTTTTCCTTGTATGAGAAAATCACCCAGTGAATTTGTTAGAGTTCATATTATTGACACTTATATCTAGAAATCCTGAATCAGTAGTCTCAGGTGGGGCCTAGGAATGCCAGTCCTCACCTTTAAAATAAATATTAAGACATAATTTTACACTACAAAATTCACCCATTGTAAGTGAATCTTCAATGATTTCTTATGCTTAGGCAACCAAGAACTGCCTTCCAGTTCCACAGCATATCCATTATCCCAAAAAGTTTGTTTGCAGTCCATCCTGGCAGCTACCCCCAGTGACAATCACTAATTTGCTTTTTTTTCCTATAAATTTATTTTTCTGGGCATTTCATTTACATAAAATTATACAATACCTAATTATTGATCCATCAATTGATAGACATTTGGATTTCTAATTTTGTCTATTGAGAATAATGTGTCTATGAACATTCATATACAACAGTCTTTGTGTGGACCTATCTTTTCATTTCTTATGGATGGTTTCCTTGGAGTGGAATTCTGGGTTTTCTGGTCATTTTAATAAACTGCAAATTATTTTCCAAACTGACTGCACCATTTTCCATTCCCACCAGCAATCTTCTCTGAAGAGATGTCTATTCAAGTTTTTTGCCAATTTTTAAAAATGTAGTTGTCTGTCTTGTTGAATTGTAAGAGTTCTTTATATATTTTGCAGACAAGTCTTTTATCAGATATATGACATGAAAATATTTTCTATTAGTCTGTGGCTTGTCTTTGCATTTCCTATTTGTATCTTTTGAGGAGAGTCTCCTTGTGTTTTCCTGTTTGTATCTTTTCAGAAGAATGTATATTCTGTGGTTGTTGGATGAAGTATTCCATAAATGTCAGTAGGATCCATAGTGCTGCTCTGCTCATTTTACTGATTTTGATGATTGAATCCATAAATTACTCGTAGAATGGATGTTGAGGTCTGCAAATACAAGAGTGGGTTTTTTTCTGTTTCTCTTTATTGTTCTATCAATTTTTGACACTGTATTGTTAGGAACATAAACATTAGATTGTAATGTCTTCCTGGATAATTCACCTCTATTATTATGTAATACCTTTCTTTATCTCTGATAATTTTTCTTGTTCTGAAGTCTACCCCACAGAAATTAACATAGCAATTCCAGCTTTCTTTTGATTAGCATAGCTTGTCTTTTTCTATTCTTTAACATTGAATCCTCTGTGTCCTTAAAGTGAATTTTTGTAAATAACATATAGTTGGGTCTTTTTTTCATTAAATCCACCCTGACACTCTTTGTCTATTAATTGGTATAGACCATTCACATATAAAATGATTATTGCTATAATAAGTTTAATATCTTTCTTTCTTTCTTTCTTTTTTTTGGTACCAGGGATTGAACTCAGGTCCTTGCACTTGAGAAGCAGGTGGCGGAACCACTGAGCTAAATCCCTGGCCCAATATCTCTCATTTTTGAAGCTATTTTCTGTTTGCTACTGTTACTCTTTCTCCCCCTCTTTTCTCTCTCTCTCTCCTCTCACCTTTCACTCTGTAAAATCTGTCTCCCCTACAATGTGTGGCCTCTGATGACTAATTTATTTTTCTTTTTAAATTTATTTACCTAGTTTGGTTTTCACATTTTTTATTGGGGGCTATAGGGGAAGGGACCTCTTCCTTGTCAGTGCAGTTGCACACATTTTCTTCAGCTACTCCAAGCCAGAGCCTGGAGGGTCCTGGGGCTGGCTGGGCACATTAGGCCACCTCCTATCATCTTGGAGGAGGACTGGTAGCTGTAGGGTATGGCCTGGTTGATCATGACAGTGTTCTTGATGAAGGGGCTGAGTGGCAATGAAACTATAGAGAGGGTCCCAAAGGCCAGAATGGCTCCTTGGCCCAGACATTCTTGAGAAAAGTGGCAAATCTCACAGCCATCTTGGCCTCCATGTTTCTATTTTTAAGCCTCACTGGGATTTACCCCTGAATTTGAAAAACTTAGTGTTCAGCCCATGATTAGTTAGAAATGGTGTTCAAACATTTTGCGACAGTACCTTCCACTCTCTACTGCTGGGTGTGTCCATGGTCTAGGAAGCATATTCAAATCTCCACCCAATCTCTTTCAAGCCTTCTCTGATTTTACTTTCCACCAGCCCCTTTGGTCTATTCTGTGCATGCAGACAGCCTCTGTCATCCAGGAATGTGTGAGTGGCTTGGGCCTACTCTGATCTCGCTGTGTGTGTGAAAAGTCTCTGGTCAACTTGAGATCTGGGAAGAACTTGTTGTGCACTCCTGCCCTGTGACCCTCTAACCCTCTCACACTCTCTATAATATCCTGACTCACCTGCCAGCTCATTGCTCAAAGGAGATTACAACTTTGAGGATAATAGAGCCGTGTTACTGAGATGGCTAGGTTAGCTTACAAGGTTCCCTGTAGGTGACCTCCCTATGGCAGTGCCCTACATTGGCTGAGCTACATGGTAGAAAAACAGAGTTGGGGGTAGGGAAGGGTGGACGCATCCCCAGGCAAGAATGTCACAGACTTGTGCCATTTTTATCCAGTGTTCAACATTTTCATGATTAAATCCTTCTTAGCTTATTGTATGCCTTTGGTTGATTTCCAGAGCTGGTGATCACTGGTTTTGAAAGTTTTTTCCAGATAGGTTTTGTGTGTGTGTGTTTAGAAAATGTGTTGACCCACTTATTCTATCATGCTAAAAACAAAGGTCCCTTTTTAAGGAGGATGCCACATATGCTGATGTACATTTTTCTGATGATCGTATTTTGAGAAACATTGACTAAAACTACAGTTACTATTCTGTAACATGTATATGCACATATGCACACACATATAAAACATGCAATATTATGTAACATATCATATATATGTGATATATATTGCACATACAGAATATATATCACATATATAGAATGTATACATATATAGAATATATACATATATGTAATATATAATTTAGTTCATCTGTTTTAATCTAATTCTCTTTAAAGTGCCAATGAGGACCTTTTTTTAAAAGTATGCACCTTAGATCCTGCCTTCATTTAAGGTATTAATGTTATATGGCGCAGGAACAATGGACTTACAGGCATAAACAATTAGGAACAAATACAAGAACAGTTCCCATGAGATGTCGGGTGGCAGTCTGGGGCTACTGCTCACTGCACAGCCCCAGGGGGCATCCTTCACATCGTTTTTCATGGAAACACTGCCCCTGCAGGTGTACTCTGGAGCACCTTTACACAGGCAATGTGTGTGCTACGTTTGTTGAGGATAAGACTCGTTATCCTTATAGCAGTTAAAATGGGTTTGACATTTCCTCCAGTCTCCTGTAATGTACGGTGAGTGAGTCATTCTCCATTTCTTTTTCCTCTGCAATAAAGTGAACATATCACCAAATACCATCATAACACTGTTATGGTTAACAACTAGACACAGTAATGATAAAATAATGGATAGCATTTATGATCTTTGACACTGTACTTTACACCTTGATTTTTATGACACAGAGGAACAAAACTGTACCCTTGATAATGTGACTAGAAGTATGTTTGAACAAGCCTAACAAAGCCTTTCTATCTGAAGGTTTCTATTTCCCAAGCTTATTTCTGCATTCTTAATTACCTAATGTGGTACAATACATCGTGCACTTTAATTAAAGGAATTAAAATATTCAGAAGTAGTTGTGCTTTAACATGTCTTTTATTATTTGCATCTTTCTGAATTGAGCAACTGGCTAAGGACATTATGAAAGACATAGGATGCTGTGGCATTACGGTCCTGTGTCCTTCAAGGAGGTTACACATTCTGTGACAAACTTGTAGAGCACCCTAAGAACATCAGCTGGAATTCAGATAGATGCATCTCTATAAAGGTTGATTTCATCAGACTGAAGAGTTACAAGGTAGATTATTATATGTTAAATTGTTATTGCATGATGTTTAGAATGAACAGTACCTTAGTATAAAAGAACTAAGATACTTATGAAAATGACAAGTGCAATTCTAAAAAATTGAAATGAAAATAAAAGAGTAATTTTGTTTAATTTTCAGGAATGCAAGAACCTGCTGCAAGAATACAAATAATATTCTTTGGGGGAGGAAAAGTTAATGCTTTCACATCCCTTTAGTCTTCTCCTCTCCTCTCTCTGTTGTTAACTTTTGTGATACTTTTTGGTTCACTGGATAGTAAATCATTAAATCTATTGGTTGGGGAACTCTTGGGGGTCAAAACCATGAAAATATTTTCATTGAGAAAATAGTTTGATATGTTTGAATTCATTAATCACTCTTTGAATTGACTTTCTAGTGGTAGATAACCAAATCACCACAAACTTAACGGCACCAACTAACACAGGTTTATTATCTTACAGTTCTCTAGGTCAGAAATCTGGGCATGGTATGGTGGGGTTCTCTGCTTAGTCTTACTAGGCTTAAATCTGACATGTTAGTTAGGGTTTCAATCAAGTGAGTTTGGGGGTCCTTTCTTAAGATCTCTGATTATTGTCAGAAATCAAGCCCCATGTCCTTTCTAATTGTAGACTGCAGACCTCTCTGCTCTTTGAAGCTGCTCTCAGATCTTTGTCTGGTGAACTTTTTTTGAACACGGTTTCCAACATCGTTAAACAGCTTTTGCCTCTTCAAGCCTCATGGGAAACCATATGGGAGGACGTAGCCCTACTTTGAAGCTCAGCTGATTAGGTCAAGTTTACCCAGGATAATCCATCTTTTGATGAATCAGTCAACTAACCAGTTATCTATCTTGGGGATGAATTCCTATCATGTTTACCAGCTACACTCCCACCCCAATGGCGAGGATTATTCAGGACATATGCACCCTTCTACTGAGAACTAGCTTAGAATTCTACCCTCCGCACTCTTCGTGTGACCTTCTTTAAGTTGCCTCTGATTTAGAGTAGCTGCAAATTAGTTCTCATTTCTTAAGATAAATACTCTCTGTTTCTCGATGGACTCTCAAACCAGGTTAAAACTTTTTTGTTTTGTTTTTTTGCAGACACCTTAACCCTAGGTTATGGTTTTCATCTTCTGTTGAAATTTTTTCTCTCCCTAGGTTCCCATCATACTGGATTAGGTAGCTGTATTTCCTTCTTAGAAGATTTTTCTCATTCACTTAGCCCTGATCCTCACTGTATTTCTCCCTGATGAGCTGCTCTTCAAAAACCTTTTAAAATCTTTCAAAAATAAAAGTCATGTTTATTGAGGTATAATTTACATGCACTCACATTCATCCCTTTTATTGTGCAGCTCTGCACATTTCAACAAATGCAATCAGGCCAATCTCTACAGTCCAGATATAGAATAGTTTCTTACCACACACACACAGAAATGCCCTTGTGTCCTTTCCCTCTCCCATAACACCCAACCTGTGGTAGCCACGGATGTTTTCCTTCCCTAGAGTTTTCTTCTTCCAGAATGTCATAAAAATGAAAGCATATCTTGTAGCCTTAGCAAATCTGTAACATAATGCCCTCTAGGTTCATTCACATTGTGTATATCGCCAGTACATTTCCTTTTATTGTCAAGTTGAAGTCCATTTCATGGGTGTAGCACAGTTTTTAATCCGTTTATCAGCTGGAGGGTATTTGGGTTGTTTCTTTTTATGAATAAAGCCACTATAAATGTTCATATCCAGGTTCTTGTGGGCACTTACATCTCTGTTTCCCTTGAATAAATATCTAGTGACAAAACTGGTAGATCATCATATGATGAGCGCATATAAGAAATTCCCAGACTGTTTTCCAAAGAGATTGAATAATTTTTGCATTTCTACCAGCAATTGTGAGAATTCCAGTTACTCTATATATTGATATTATCAGGTTTTATTTTTGCCTTATTTTACCTATTTAAATAGGTAATTGTATCTCATAAAGGTCTTAAATTACATTTTTTTCAATGAATAATGATGTGTAACATATTTTAATGTGGTTATTTGCTATTCATATGGCTTTTTTTAAAAATACGGCTTTTATGATGAAGTCTTCACTCACATATCTTGCCCATTTTTTAAAAATGGGTTGTTTTTTATTATTGAGTTTTATATATTTGGCTATAAATTCTTTATTAATGTTTTGAATATATTTCGCACACAGTAAGCTCTTTAAAGTTTCCTAACACTGCTATTTTTCAAATAGCATAATTTAATTCAATTGGCTATGTGTATGTGGATCTATTTATTGGTACTTTATCAGGTTTGTTCATCTAGTTTGTCAAAACCACACTGTTTTGATTTCTGTAGCTTTATCATAAGCCTGGAAATCAGGTACTATACATCCTCCAACCTTTTCCTTATAATAACTTTTAGTTACTCTGTTCTTTGCCTTTCCATGTGAATTTTAAACCATGCTGTCAATTTCCATAAAACAAATTTTTAGAACTTTAGGATTATTTTAAATTTGTAGATCAGTTTGGAGAGAATTGATATCTTAATGGCACTGGCTTCCATTCCATGAACAGGGTACATCTTCAGACTTATTTAGATCTTATTTAATTTTAGTGTTTTCCAGTTTTAAAGAGTCAGATCTTAGACATATTTGGTTAACATTATACTTAAATATTTAATGTTTTTGGTCATACTATATCAAGTAAGATTTTCTTTGAATTTCAATATCAGATTATTTATGAGTAGTATATAGAAATATCACTGATTTTGTATATTGAACCCTGTGACTTTTTAAAACCCTCTTATTCAAGTAGCTTTCTGTGGATTTTCTATGAAGACAGTAATTTCTTCTGTGAATAGAGATGATTTTATGTCTTCCTTTCTGATTAATAGACTTTTACTTTTCATTGCCTCATTGCCTTGGTGAGGGCATCCTATATACTCTTGGACAGGAATGGTGAAAGAAAACATCCTTGGCTTGTGCTCAACTGGTATATTACCAGCTATTGGTTTTTTGAAGATGTTCTTCATCAGGGTAAGGAAGTTCATTTCAGTCATATCCCACTAAGATTTTTTAAAATTAGGAATGAATATTATCAAACACTTTATTGATATGGTGAACTACATTGATTGGTTTTTCTAATCTTTCCAGTTGATCTTTTCATATATTGTTCTTTTCATAAGTTGCTGGATTCATTTAGCTAATATTTTTTTTAAATGTTTGCATTTGCATTTATGAAAGATATTAAACTGTAGTTTTCTTTTCTTGTATTGACTTCTTCTGATCTGGTGTCAGGATTATGTTGGTCTCATAAAATGAATTGGGAAACATTTCTTTCTCATCTCTTTTCCAGAAGAGTTATGTACAAGTATTACCAATTCTTCACTGCATATTTGGTAGAATTCACCAGTGAAACCATCTTAGACTAGAGGTCTTTTTGGCAAAAAGGTTTTTGGGGGTTTTTTTGGTACTGGGGATCGAACTCGGGTCCTTGTGCTTGCGAGGCAGGTGGTGGAACCACTGAGCCAAAATCCCCAGCCCAGAAAGCTTTTAATAAGTAACTCACTTCCTTTAATTGATGTAGGAGTATCCAGTTTGTGTCTCTCAAGGCATTCATTCGTTTCATCTGTTTTCACATTTTGGGAGGTGTGAAGCTGTTTATTTTTTTAATGTCTATGGGGCCTGTGGTGATATTCTCTTTTTTGTTTCTATATTATTAAATTGTGTTTTCTCTCTTGTGTTTTTCTTCACCAATGTATCTAAAAGTTTGTCAAATTTTTGTTGTTGTTTATGGCTTCCTCAATTTTCTCTATTATCTTTCTGTTTTCAGTTCCATCAATTTATGCTTTTACCATTATTATTTTCTTCTTTCAGTTTGGTTTGGGGTTAACTTGCTTTTATTTTCCTAGTTTCATAAGATGGGAGTTTAGAGCATAGATTTGAGGCCTCTCTTGCTTTTTAATATGAATAAGTAATACTATAAATTTTCCTTTAAGTACATTTTTATTTATATCCCACATATTTTGACATACTGTTTTATTTTCATTTAGTTCAAACTATTTTCTAGTTTCTCTTGTGACTTCTCTTTTGATTCTTATTTCATGTTGTTTAATTTTAAAATGTTTGGATGGGGCCTGGGATTTAGCTCAGTGATTAGGCCGCCTGCCTCGCAAGCACAAGGATCTGAGTTTGATCCCTAGTAACAAAAAAAAAGAAAGAAAGAAAGAAAAGAAAAATAAAAATGTTTGGAGGATTTTCCAGGAGTTTCTGTATTATTTCTAGTTTAATTCTGTTGCAGAAATAATACTTTGTAAGACTTCAGTCCTTTTAAATTTGTTGAGGCCTTCATAGAAGCTCTGAATACAGTCAATCTTGCTGAAGCTAACAGCATTGTAACCCACATTAAATTAATCCATCCTCCTCTTTCTAATTTCTCATACATCTTCATTGTCTATGTCTTGAAATAACCTCTTTACTTTGCCAACGTGTTCACCTCGCAGCAGGCATTCCAGTGTGTGCACTCCTGTTAACTCATGTTTGTGCAATGCCAATCGTCCATTTCCATTTTTAAAACTCCAGTAACACTGTGATCATTATCACTACATCTAGTTGGATACTTTCAGATCACCGTATTTTTCCTGGGGCTGAAGAGGTGGAGGTTCCTGCCCAGGGTCTTGAGTGAAGAAGAAGGCAGTAGTTGACATTAAAATCGTCACATTTATCCAGGCTCACATAGCTTTTGCCTCACATCTGAAGTCCTGTAGGGTCCAGAGATGATTGTCATGTCTCTTCCCTCTGCACCAAATATTTCTCCTCTTGTCTGTTACCAAGGTGACACAAATCACCCCTGAGTAATTCCATCATGTGGAGCCCGCCTGCTAGCTCAGGCAAGCGTCCCTCTAATTAGATATTGTCAGAAATGGATGGGACCCTGTATTCCTGGTCTGGGTTATGACGTGGGCAGCTCTCCACCCATAGCCAGCAAGCTGTCCCTGTCCAGAGCT